ACAAGAAGCTACTAGGGGCTCCTGGCATCGCTACTAGTAACAAGTGCCTTACTAGTAGTAACAAGAAGCTACTAGGGGCTCCTGGCATCGCTTCTAGGAACAAGAAGCTACTAGGGGCTCCTGGCATCGCTACTAGTAACAAGTGCCTTACTAGTAGTAACAAAAACGCTACTAGGGGCTCCTGGCATCGCTACTAGGAACAAGGACGCTACTAGGAGCAACTGCCACGACACCGATGCCACTGGGTTCTGCGACACACCACCCGGCACATCCCATTTCACCTCGGCTGTAAATCCAGTATGTTGGCCTTTGCTAGTAGGTTGCAGGCAGTGGCTATTAGGCTGGAGGCCATCACAAGTAGGTTGGAGGCCATCGGTAGCTCTGTCGATGTTCGTTTCACTTTCGGCAAAAGCTGAGGCATTTCGGCAGGAAACGTTGTCGCCTTTGGATCAAAGGAAGGATGTTTTGCCGGTTTTTCACCTCGAAACGCGCCGGTTTTGCATCGGTTTCAGCGATGTTCTCTCTGGGACAAATGGCCATGAGCCACTCTAAGCAGAGTGACTGCGCTTGGTGTCAATGTGCCTGGCCGTTCCAACATTTCGAACTGACACGGCTCCCATGTTCAGCTTGCCTTGGCTTCTGAGACGGTCTTGTTCTAAAACTCGAAGATGGGGCCTTGGAAAATGAAGAAAACACAGTTTTATGCTGATGAAATGCCTTTCGATTCGATGGATCAGTTTGATTTAAATATAAAAATATAATAAACATGAATACGGGTTTAGGGCCTCCTTACCTTATTTGTTTTTTATTGACTGTTTGTCTCTCTCACTCTCTCGCTCTACATATACATGTATACATACCATAAATGAGATTGGATTGGTCTTCACAATCAGCTCCAAACTGTGAGGTCTTCGAAATGGACGATTTGTCCACGCCTGGACAGCTGCGAACCGACCAACAACCAAAAGCCGTCCCGATCGGACCTGGCTGTCAGGGTCCTTGAAAAACGCATGGCCAGCAGAATGGGCTCCTGGCATCGCTTCTAGTAACAAGTGCCTTACTAGTAGTAACAAAAACGCTACTAGGGGCTCCTGGCATCGCTACTAGGAACAAGGCCGCTACTAGGGTTCATCATTCTTCCGCTGTTACAACATCATGCAGGGTGGATGCCACCTTGTTGGCTCACATTAGGACAATGAGTGGTCATGGTGCTCCAAAGCATGTCTGTCAGTCGCAAGTGATAACACTTGTTAGTTGCTGGGACAAAAACAACTGGTGAGCAATTCTGCATGTTTGCAATTATGCTTTGAAATCAGCTTGAGATTCTATCCATGGGAAATTTGCCATGTGACTCAGGCAAGGATGGTTCAGGTCTGGACGAATTTACTTGAAATATATGAGTTCTACACAAGCGAGGTTTGTTGATCACTGACCACTGAACATCTTGTCTATGCGTCTATGAGTGATTTTTTGTGTGTTTGCTCTTATCAAGCCTCTTTTGGATAGCCACGCTGGGGTGGGGGAAAGGTGACAACCAGCTGTGGATGACGTCGCACCAGCGGCACCCAGCAGGTTGGAGGTGCCGTTCTTGCTTTGGTCTGAGAGCGCCTGGTTCCAACGGAGCGGGATATTTCAAGCTGAGTAGAGCGAAACCGTTGGGAGCAAAGTGCGCGCTTCGGTCCTGGTTTCCAAGACCTTTGTCTGGGACACTGTGAGTGGTCGTAAATCCAAATTATAACATGCTGTGGAATCTTTTTAGGACCGAGAATAGGCAGGACACGAGATTTGTTCCCTATCTTGTATCCGACCATGGCAAAAAGATCCAGATCCCTACTAGCTGCTAGCTAGCATTGGAGCAGGAGCACGGGAGCACAAAAAAAAAATTATCCCGGCAAGAGACCCCAAACAGTGTGTGTGAGGTCTATAAGCAGAAAGTGTAGAGATCTAAACGCATTGGGGTGATGGTGGTGATGAAGGTGGGGATCGTGTGAAATATAGGCACCCTATGCAATCATTCGAGCAACCACATATCGTTTCGTTCGATCACTTGGAAGGTTCGGTCGCGGTTGCACACACCGCTTTTGACCATGGTGCGCTACGGCGCACAAATCGAGAAGTGTACCAAAGCTGCCATCCGTACCGGTTGGCTCAAGGGCGACGCAAAAAGGAGTTGCTTCGCTTGGGAACGGCGGCCCGCGTGTCGACTAATCGCAGTCGAGCACAAATCGAGAAGTGTACTTCATTTGTTCTCTTTTCTTTGTGTTCGCTTTGCATTTGAGGTTGAACTCTAAAAGGTCTGAGTTCTCATATGGTAGCGGAGCTCCTGTAAAGGAGCGTAGGACAGCAAGTTTTCTAGGTTTGTTCACAACCTCACATCCGTAGAGATTGAGAGCCATGGATGAATCTGGAACTGGAAATGCTGGTCCTCCCCGAGAACGATCCAGAGAGCCTCGAGGCCGATCAGTGTCTCGACATGCAGGACAGGACAATCGCCCTGGAGGAGGGAGTTCGAGTCAGAGACGCCTAGCATTTCTTGAAGATCAAGTAGCTCATCTAGCCGGCACCCTGAGCAGTTTAGGACCCGTCCTTCAACAAGTGCTAAGCCTTCAGACGAATCCTCAAGCCGGTGTTTCGAGTCAAGCACAAATGCCAATCCCACCGGCAACACAAACACTTCCTCCGGAGAATGTTGCAAATCCGCCCGCGCAGCCGATCTCAACCGGAGCCGAAACTCCATTCGCCCAGCCTAGTCAGGTGATTCAACCGAATGTGGATAATCCGAATGCAAACACCGACCCGCCGGACACACCTCGGCATCTCGACAGGATCACTTCCAAATGATCCTTGGGTGAACCAAGACCCATGGCAACAATATCATAATAGTTCAGCCCAAGCCGCAGGAATTCCGGATCGCCCCTTCCCGTATAGCATGGCCAACAGTCCAGAGCAAGTACAGCCATTTGCCAGTCAGTCATCCAATCAGGGTTTCAGCCAGGTTATCCCTCCACCGCCCGGGTTTCAGAATGTGAATCCACAAATGATCCCAATCCCTGTTAACACTCCTCAGGGATCAGCTCAAGAGATTGGTGGACAGAATGATGAAAACCCGTTCAAGAGATCAGAAAGGTGGATGCCACCTGTGCCAACTCCATCCTTCCAAGATTGGAAATCCAGGCCTGCTGAAATTGCGGGGTTCATCGAATGGGTCACCTCGTTAGCATCATGGACCGGACTCGGATCGAATGCAAATCCCACTGAGATTCTGTCAGCACTGCGTGAAAGCGAGCCCTAGGTTGGCACCGCCTGACTGCAAGCCAGGCGACACGATCCGTCCGGCTGATGTCAATACTCAAACTTTGCTTCGAGAACAGCGTCAAGGCATCCTCGGTCATTCGTAATTATGAAGAAGAAAAAGGATTTCAAAGATGTTGTGGTTTCGAATGCCTGAGGCTTTTAGCAAAGGAGTATGCAGTAAAAACCCGAACTGAACTTCTTTTCTTCCGTTCGCAGCTTGCCAATGCATCCATCACCGGAAAGACAATTCCCGAAGCCGTGAGAAAGGTGCAATCCGAATTGTACCAATTCGAACGTGTGTCGCAGCTCGTCGATCCAGCAGTGAACGTTCGAGGATTAGAGTTCCAAGAAGCCGACAAAGTTTTGTTGTTGCTTAGATCTTTACCCAGTCAATGCCGCCAGTGGGTTGTTCTCCATGCCAAAGATGAAAGCTTCAATACGTATCTAGAAGCCGCACTTCGATACGAGTCGCAGCAAAGGATCTGGTCTGAGCTCAATGGCCAGCCGATTGCAGCTCTTGGTGACCAGAAGGGAATATTTTTTGTCCCTAAAGGCAAGAAAGGGAAAGGCAAGGAGAAGAAAGGGGGTAAAGACGGAAAGACCTAAGAAAATGTCGAAAAAGGAAAAGGAATTGGAAATGGCAGTGAGTCTAGGACATGTTTCCAATGCAATCAACGAGGACACCTTGCTGCCGATTGTCCCAACAAGAGTCCATTCAAGTCAAAGGGTGATTCCAATTCCAAAGGGTCAAACAAGAGTGATGGAAAGGGCAAGAAAGGATTTGAGAAAGGGAAGAAGGGAAGTCCATCCGACAAAGGAAAGTCAAAGGGAGGAAAACCAAAGGGGCAAAGAGCAACTGAATTCCAACAGCAACCAGAGTCGGAGGTAGGGAGTGAAAGGTCTGAGCCGGATGTTGAAGATGGAGGTCGTTTGTCTACCTTCAATGAACAGGATGTAGCTCAACCATTCTTCATTTGTCAGAACATGCAGTCCGCAGATCCCTACCTGTGGTTGGTTGATTCAGGTGCTAGTCGAACCGTCGTGTCCCTCGATTCCCTGTCAGCATACAAAGTCCTTCGTGAACGCACATTGGCAACTCCCATCCAGTTTCGAACTGCCTCGGGGGAACAGGTTCGGATTGATCACGAATGTATGCTCGAAGTTAGTTTTCCAACAACCATTGAACATGATGAATGTGATCGCAACAAGTTGGTCAAGTATGAGATTCGAGCCGTCGTCGGTCCAGTCGAACACAACCTCCTGAGCGTTTGCAGTTTGACCAAGCTAGGTGCGACATTCGTGTTTGGACCAGATCAATGCCATATCCGCGTCATTGACATCAGGCGCCTGGATTGCGAAATCTGGGCAAATGTACCTTGGATCCGAGCACAGCAGCGCAAGCCTCGTGGACGAGATCAGGATGTGGAAATGAAGGGGAAACTGACCATGGACACCTGGACCAGTGAAGATTTGGACGACTATGAAAGCAGGAAACGAGCACTTTCGGCATGGTTCAACAATAAACCATTATCTGAAACGGCAAAAGATGAAAGCTCAGATGGTCAAACACCATCCAGTTCGCATGGCAAGAGCCCGAAGGTGTCATTTTTCGTTTCTGCCACTCAGTCAAAGGGGTCCATGAGTCAAGGTATGTCCTCAGGTCATGTGAAAGTTTTGAAGTTTGAAGACCACCCTGAGATCAAAACGTTCGAGGTTGAGCCGAAAGCCAATAAAATTGAGCCCAATCACCGTATTACCAGTCAAGATCATGGCTTTCTCAACGCTGCCGACCATCCATTGCCCGCACCAGGTGATCTTGAAGATGCCATTGAGCGTCCATATGATGGTAAAGAGCCTTGTCCTCCGAGCGAAGTCACCAGGTATCCAGAGTTCTCAAAGAAGGTGGATCGTGAACTGTCGTTGCACCGCCGACGTGGACACATCCCATTCGACAGCCGTTGTGTTCATTGCATCAAAAGTAGATCCACTTTGCATCATGGACGAGTAAGTAAGTCAAGCAGCACACCCGTCGATCATCACATGATGTTGATTCAAGCAGACTTTTTCTTTTTAGAAGGAAATAAGTTCATTTTGCTCGTCGATGCCGGAACCGGATTGCTTGGAATCAGTTTGCGCGGTCCCAACCAAGACCAAAGGCTAGCCGATTGCCGCCAGTACTTCCGACAGCTTGGTGTTTCGGATCAGTCATCCCAAACCGTTGAAGTGTTGACCGACAGCGAAGCCTTGATCGGACAGCTGTTGAGACGACTTGGTCTACCACTTCAGTTAAAGTCTGCCGCACCTCAAGCTCACGAAAGCATCGGACTTTGAGAGAGGAACGTGCGGAGGGTGAAGGAAATGACGGGATGTCTTAGGAGTGATCTTCGTCTGCATGGGGATTGGTTCAGTATGTCACCCAAACGCACAACCACTTTGGTGTTGGAGGTTCGGTAGGGCAATCAGCAGGACTTGAAAATCGTCGGACGCCACTCGAGTTGCTGTTGAACAAAGATAGATCTAAGCCAGTATCAACCATGTTCGGAAGCGTCTGCCACGCCCAAGTTCCCGATTCGTTGATCGAGTCCCTGTTCAAGCCAATCCCCTTCCGGGAAGTTTTTGTCATTCTCGCTCTTTTCCTGCCCCAATTGACCTTTGCGGAAGGCGCAAAATTGGAAGGCAAGCTGTGGTACAGTCCAGTCATCAGTAGTGAAGTCTCCATGATTTATGTCACGCCTATTGCCCAAGGCCTGCAGGGCATGCACGAATACAAGATCGCCTTCGCTCCGCACTCAAGGGCGGCAGCCTTTGTCTCCCCAGAACAACCTGTTCAGAGTTTTGAGTCCCTGGCCATGCTGCCCTCTGAGCAGATCCACATTGATAGCCAAGTAGGGAGGGTATACCGACTTGTGCTTCGGGAAGACAGTCAGGTCTTCGCGCTGTTGATGGTGCTACTCGAATATGTCACTCAACCTAAGAAGAAGTCCAGACAGGGCTCCCAAGAATCAAGGGAGGAGTTAGCAGTTCGACAAAGTAGCCCAAAGTCATGGACCGTGGCATTCATCCCCACACCGGAGACCTTTGCTCCCTTGCCGACTAGTGACGAAATAGTGGTTAACTCCCAGATACAATGGGGACTACCGCCCAGCTTGCAGCAACTAGAGACCCAGACGGTTGCGCTCCCTATCCTCAGTCTGGCTGAGGTTGGAACTACTGTCTCCGCTGACCACTTGCTGCAAATGGCCACAATGCCCCTTGAGCACAAGCCAACGGCATTGGGCATTCCTTATTCGCTCCCAGTCTCCTATCAGTTTGAAGGAACTGAAGAGCTGTTGCACAGCCTACATGCACTCTTTGGTCTTCTGGCGACGGCCGATACCCCGCGGTATTGTCCCCAAGCCACAGGTTTCGGCCAACAACTATGTTCTGCAGCTGGCACGGACAGTGCCCACATCCTCTCTATTGCCCTGTCCATGGTCTCAGCTCTACAGTCCGGCCGATCCACCTTGGCCATCGCAGGCGTCTTTGGGGCCGGCAAGACCAGGTCGCTTACATTCTTGCTTGCCTGGTTCGCAATCACCACTAACCTTCGGTTTGGCGTCGCCCATAAAGAAAACCCAGCAGGGAGAGCCATCACCAAGCTGCTGAGTTCTCTGGACCTTGACGAGGACCAGCGGACCCTTTTCGTGAGGCCAGTCGGTAAGGAAGAAGCAATCGCCAATACTGCCAACACGAAGTATGACAAAGCTATGTTCCACTGCACAGGCATCATACCAGGTGCAAGAGTGGTTGTTGCCACTACAGGCCTTATCTGGGAGCCAAAAGGGCAAACGCACTCGCCCCTTAGAGCACATATGGAAAGTCTTGATGTCCTCATCAGTGAAGAGGCTCAACAAGACATGGACCTCAAGTCTGCCTTTGTCCCAGCAGTCCCGCGGCAACCCTTCTTCCGTATTCTGCTTGGTGACCCCCGTCAGAGCCCAGGAGGGGTAGCCGACAACCTGAGGGAGCACAGAACCCTCCTGCTTAAAGCCCCAATTGGTCTGCGTGCGAAGAATAGATGGCTGATGCCACAAGCACTGCCAAAGGTGGCGTGTAGCCTGCTTAAAGAAAGTGGCGAAGCTTCGCTACTAGACCTCACGCAAGCGGCCGAGGAAGTTAGCAATAAAGCATTAGGGTCTGGATGGTACTCCCGTGAGGACTGTCCTTGCACCTTGCCTGCTGGAGCCAATCTACAGGCGGCGTACCCAGAGCTACGACGCATCCAGCTAGACACTCCTGAAGGTTTGCTTGCTGGCCTCGGATATGCTCTAACGCGCCCTGGTCACATGTTCCAGTTCCATCAGGCAAACACGGCTGAAGAACGCTCTGGCCTGACAGGGGTGCACCAGTGGAGTATCATGCTCCCAACCAGCGCAAGGGTAGCTCAGGAAGTATATGAGCCCC